TGACACTTGAAGACTGATAAACTTGAGGTCAGTCGCTGATTATCGGACTATTGGCTGGTTCCGGAAGAGATGAGGAGATGGCCGGGTTCTCCTGAGTCTGAACACAAGAGTGTGTGGCACAGAGCACGGAGTTGATAGCTGAGAGCGTGGGAGCTGCGGCGCTGCACAAGCAAAAGTGCAAAATTCTAACACACCCCTTGCTCATTGCCAATTAGGAGATGAGCACAAGAACTGAAGACTATGGAGAGCTCAGCAATTAGACTTCTTCCCAACGGCTTTTGTGAGGAAATCTGCCACATGAGGTGAGTTGGGACATATTTCAGGACAATGGATTTGATTTTGATCTTGCGGCAAATAAAATGATGCCGTAGTGACATGTGTTTAGTCTTGAAGTTGGAATGATTGGATTCGTTGTTCGCGAGTGCTATTGCTCCTTGGTTGTCTTCAAAAATTGGAGTTGGTCCCTTAATCTTGATATTGAAGATCTTCTTGAGCAAGGTCTTGATCCACATGATCTCCTTGGTAATGTCGCCAATTGATTTGTACTTGGCCTCAGTAGATGACAGTGACAGGGTTGTTTGTTTCTTGGATTTCCATTGTACAGAATCAAGTTGCCTGAGACGGATCTTCTTGACTCAGGGCTTGATGCCCAGTCAGCGTCCGCGTATCCCACAAGAGTGTCAAGATTGTCAGTCGGTTTTGAGAGCTTGAGACCATCTCTTTGGTCCCCTTCAGATATCTGAGCACTTGAATCCTGGCGTCCCAGTGATTGGAACCGGGTTCATTGAGGAACTGGGATAGTGAACTGACCGCAAAGGTTATTTCTGGACAAGTGGTGTTGCTCAGATAGTTCAATGCACTGATTAGTGAACAATAGTTGTTACCTGATTCAATGTGGCTGACTCTTTCGGCATTGGTGGCTTTGACAAGATGACTTTTGGGTTTCATAGGTGTGGAAGAAGGGTACAGGCCTTGGCAATTGAATCTTTCCAGGTGAGTGTTGATGTAGTGACTTTAGGTAAGGATGACAGAGTTCCCTTCCTGTCAAACGTTCATGCCAAGTAGGAGATTGGATTCTCCTAAGTCTTTGATCATTTGGAAACAAGTTTTCACTTCAGCCTTGAAGTCTTCAGGATTTTTGCTAAAGATGGCCCAGTCGTCCACGTGCAGATAAATAAATGTCACCTTTCTCCAAAATACGCACGGTTCTGCAGCACAGCATCTGAAGCCAATTTGGTGAAGCCATTCTGACAGAGTCCGATTGCAAGCCCTGCTCCTCACAGGCTTAAAAAAACTTGTCACAAGATTACGTAAGCATAGTTCTGCCTTGTATTTAGTCTTGACTCCCCCTTCCCCTTCCTAGCTTGGTAGAGTTCTTCCTCCTACCAATGCTAGGTAAGTCTTCCATCTCTTCTTTCTCCATTCTTAGGGGCATGCAATCAAACCCGCCCCTCAGAGACGGGCGGGCGGGATTGCATGCCCCTTTTGGAGGGGCAGGGGCGTGGGCATGTGGGAGGGGGGAGGGTGTGCGTTTATCAACGCACTCAGGAAAGGTATGGGTAAATCCTTTTTTTTTGGTCAATCACAATCATGGAGACTGTATGTATGCACCTACTGAGATGGAAGAATTGGTCAAAAAAAGAACAAATACAAGCTGTCTATATCTCACAACTTAAGGATGATCAAAGATGGGAATAAAGCTGGACTGGTCCACAGTCAACTTTGAGGAAGCCACAATGGGGCTCCTCTCAAGTGGGTTTTGTGTTTGGGAAGCATATTTCAAAATCTGATTTGGTCCAATTTCACATTTTCCAGACACTGTCAACATATTTGGCTGGGTTGGTTACATGAGTGCATCCCTCTTTGACTGGAACACCCTCAACCTAGCCAATCATGCTGGCAATGAGATGCACGGCTTTCAAACTCAACTACATCTTGAACCCTAACAGCAAACAGAAAATCTCATAGCATCAGTATAACTATTTACTGCTTAAGAATAATGTGGCAGGGACACTTTTCCTCTGATTAGTACCTTGATTATAAACAAATATTCCAAAATATATTTGAAATAATTTGAAAAGTGTTGCAAATCTGCTTTGATTTTGTTTCTCTTCATTTTCATTTCAAGACTAAGTGCAAAACATTCCAAACCTCCTACATAGGTGTTTCAAATCTCAAATTCCTGGAATCCATACCCACATGGTGTCTGTACATCTATGTATGATTTAAATCCATACCAAGGTTTCCAGATCCTAATCCTGCCCAGAACAGACATCTCAAACTCAGTGATGCAACATGCATCCAGGGTCCTACATCCATCAATCCAACCATGGTTTTCAGGAGCCAAATCAGATGGGTTCCCATGATCATACTTGCAGGGATCTCCTTAACCCAGATAGCCCACCCCATTCCAAAAAGACCTGAGCAGATTTCAGCACAGTCAACATGTGTTCTGATTAGGCAAAAACCGCCAAAATTAACTCAAGTCTTGCTGTGGAGGGCACATCTGGAAGCTTAGTGCTGGCCAGGCAGTTCCCAACGGGAACTCCCCATGGGGGAAACTTGTACCTTATGTCAACAAAATATTGTGGGAAGAATGATGGGTTTTGGTGGGAGAAACATAGGAGTTCAATCAACTTGCACGCACTACATGAATCCAGAAAAAGTTGAAAAGTCATCATTTCAACAGATAGATGCAAAGAAACTGGGAAGGTCAAAAACAAAATGAGAAGACAGTAAAATGTATAAAGAGAAGGCCTTCCATGCCTGTGAAGGAAAATTGATGAATGAGAATAAGAAATTGTGTACAAACAATGTAACTTAGAAAAGTGTTTCAGGACTAAATCTGAAGTCTTTCAACATGGAACTTTCAACTTAGCATAGGCCTCCAATGGTGTGGACAGCTCTGCTGCTAACTACTGCTCTGGCCATGGAGGACTCACTACAAACAATACCTAGTTTTGCCCCAGGACAAAATTGCCATTTGGGTGGTGGAAAATAGATCAATTTCCCTGAGTCATTTTTGACAAAGATGACTCAGGAGT